GTCTTCATTGAAAAATCTGAAGATAATCAGCACCAGAGCATGGCTTAAAGTTTCAATTCAGTGCTGAAGATAATCAGCACCAGAGCATGGCTTAAAGTTTCAATTCAGTGCTGAAGATAATCAGCACCAGAGCGTGGCTTAAAGTTTCAATTCAGTTCTGGGCAGTTTGGCTGTATTTAACCCTTGCTTGGACTCTCCTTCGCAGCACCCTGAAAACGACCCTTCAGGTAAGTCAATGGTCATTCTCCGTGGTGGCCCCCTCTCTCTGGAACATCATCCTTGCAGAGATTAGAACAGCCCTCACTCTTAATACCCTTTTGGAAGGCGCTGAAGACCTGGTTCTGCCAGCAGGCCTGGGGAACCTAGAGCGGGATGGAGCCCATTAACTTTTTGAAATTGGTCTGGAAAGAGACAATGTTCAAAATTCCTCATGCTGGCTACAGAATTTGGGGAGTTGAAATCCATACATCCTAAATTTGCTGAGGTTGAGAAACATTGCCTTAAAGCAGTGATGGCTAACCTTTTTGGCATCGCGTGCCAAAAGCGGGGGGAGCACAGGGGGATCATGCGCAGATGTGCCCACACCCATAATTCCATGCGCGCAACCCCTGCCGTCCTCCCCTCCGCTTTTGGCATGGTGGACCCATTTTTTGCCCTCCCCAGGCTCCAGAGGTTTTCTAAGAGCCTGGGGAGGGCGAAAATACCCTTCCCCACCTCCATAGGCCCTCCAGAGGCTTCAGGAGGCTTCCCTGAAGCCTCTAGAGAGTGAAAAATGGCTGGAAATGAAGGCCGAAGTCAGCTGGCCAGCACACGCATTCGCACTGGAGCTGATAGGGCAATACCTCGTGTGCCCTAACAAATGACTCCACGTACTACCTGTGGCACGCGTGCCATAGGTTTGCCATCACCGCCTTAGAGAAATTGAATCCACACCTTAATTGTTGAATTTCCTTTTTTTAATCTTACCTTTTCCAGTGAATATATTGATACAATATTAAGATAGAAAGAATATAATCTCCCTGGCTGGAATCGAATCAATGTCATAACAGCAGTCGGTGATTTCACTGCCGAGTCATAAACTTGTCATTTCAGAGTTGGCTTTCTCTGATGCTTATGATGTGAGCATCTCTTTACATGAACCTTTTACCAGTCAGGTATCCTCCAAACCAAGGGTGTCAAACTCAAGGCCCTCAGGCCAGATCTGGCCCATGGGGCCAGTCTGGAAATAGGAAAGGACTGGCCTGTGGTGCCTCTGGCAGCCAAAATGGGATCTGGGGGGCTACATGCCCCCCTCCCACATTTTGGTCAGCAGGATGCTGCAAGAAGCCATCCAGGCCAAAAACTCCACACACACAGTCTCGCACTTCATTTTGGCCTGCAGGGTGCGTCCATCCCATCTTCCCCAGGCCAGCCCGCAGAGGAGAACTACAATGCTAATCCAGCCCTCAAAGAAATCCAGTTTGACACCCCTGCTCCAGACCATCCAAACTACAATTCCCACAAATTGGCTGCAGAAGTTGGGCATTGTATCCAAACACGTATTGAGAGCCTCAGATTAAATATCTTTTTCTTCTGCCCTAGGGACTGTAATAATCCACTGTCTCACAATTCCCATTAATCTAGATCTCTGCTCTAGCTTGCACCAGGTGCACATTTCTGCTCTGTTTGCCCCGTGAGGGAGCCAGGTATGCTGTCCCTATTGCCAGCGCTTGGGTTAGTCAAGGACTGGGTCGGTTGTCATGATTCCGGTGTGTGTGTATATGGAAAAAAACACGCTCCTCGTCCCCGAGCCTCTCCTCTGGAATCTTTTGGAACACCGTGTAGGGATTACACGTGGTTGCAAGCATCTGATTGCTGTGCCGTTCCAGCTGTGATGCAAGGCTATAAGCTATTGCAGTCAAAAGCTTGTTGGAGACTGCCTGGAGGTGAGTCTCTCTCCAGGGCCTTTTTTTTTTTTTTTTTTTTTTTT